TTGTGGATGCAAGAGCATCCAACTCAGATTTCATAGCATTATTCCAACAGTCAGACTTGCAGGCTTGTTTATAGGTTTTGGGTTCTGAGAGAGAGCTAATGGACAGACAGAAGAATTTATGATCTGGACTACATTGGTTATAAGACAGAACAGAAGAGAGAGGATAATTGGAGGTACCTGTGTCAGATGCTGGCAGCATTGAGGATAGAAAATTGCAGTGGTAATCAGAGAGATAGGCTGGAGGTTTGGTACGTCTATTTGATTTTATGGTTAGTAAAGGAAGGTTGGAACAGGGGAAATCAGTAATGTCATTTGAGGGAGAAGAGAATCTGGTAGGAGAAGAAGTATTGGACTGGGGGAGAGGGGGGGGGGGGGGTCATTTGGTTGAGTTAAGGGTGGTGGAATGTTGGTGAGGTTATCAGGTGGGTCAAGTAAAGGAGTTTCAGCATTGGCAATTATAGGATTAGGTGCAGTGGTAGGTGAGGTTGATGCAAAGAGAAACACAGTTTCATAGAAGACTACATGTCTTGAAACATAAAACTCATGTGAGATGGGATCATAAAGAATAAACCCTTTTGTGCCTTCCCTATAGCCAAGAAAGATGGATTTCCTTGCTCTTGGTTCAAATTTTGTACGATGGTTATGTAATGTGGAAGAGTAGGCAAGGCATCCAAAAACTCGTAAATGGTTAAGATTGGGAGGAGTAGAGTGAAGTGTTTGATAGGGGGATAGGTTGTTAAGGAGAGGAGTGGGAAGACGGTTTATAATGTGAATGGCCTATTGTATAGAAAGATGCCAAAGGTTATGAGGAAGATTAGAGTGGAAAGAAAGGGCACATGCAACATTCAGGATGTGCTGGTGTTTTCTTTCCACGATACCGTTTTGTTTAGGTGTTTCAATGCAGGACCTGTGATGGATAATGCCTTTAGAAAGGTAGAAGTTTTTCATGAGAAACTAAGGGCCATTGTCACTACGAATGCATTTGAGTTTCTTGCCAAATTGAGTTTCTATGAAGGAGATGAAATGAACTAAGTGAGTTCTAGTTTCACTTTTATTGGTCATAAAAATTGTCCAAGTAAACCTGCTGTAATCATCTACAAGGGTTAAGAAGTACTTATGTCCACATATGGAAGGGGTGGAAAGAGGTCCCCAAATATCAGCATGAATTAAATCAAAAATGGCTACAGATTTAGTAGTACTATGAGCAAAAGGAAAATGTTTTTGTTTGGCCAAATGGCAAGTATTACAAGGTTGATGATTGTTATTGAAAGTGACAAAAGGAAATTGAGATGAGATACATTTGTGTATATAAGGACTTAAGTGTCCTAGTCTAAAATGCCAAATAGTGGCATGATCATGCTTGTAAGGATCGAATGGAGGAGAGATGAAGGTGTTTCCAGAACCAGGTGTGTGTGGTAAGGCTTTAGGTGTGGTGGCATCAAGAACATACAATTTGCCAATCCTCCTAGCTGTAAATCCAGTCATCTTGGGATGGAGCAACTGCACAATTTGACAGCAATTAGGGAAAAATTTCACATCATATAACGAGGAGTCAAAAAGGGTAGTGACTGATATAATGTTAACATGAAACGAAGGAAAATAGTAAACATTGTGGAGGACAAGGGATTCACACAACAGAACTGATCCAACAATGGTGGTAGTGACTGTGTCACCATTAGGCATGGTCATAGATTTAGGTGCAATGTGATATGTGGAAAGAAAACTAGTAAAGTTATGAGTGATGTGGTCGGTGGCGCCCGTGTCAACGATCCACCAATTATGATAAGAAGTATTAGAGAGATGCTTACCAGAAGAAATGTGGGGAGAGGTATGGGATACAGAATTGGCAGCAAAAACAGAATTAACCGATGAAGGTGAAGGGAATTGCAAGTTGGATTGTTGAAGCAACTGTAAAATCTGAGTATATTGCTCTTGGATCGTGGACAAAGTGCTTGAGCCATTGGTTAATGTGGAGGCAGAGATGGATGATGCCTCAAGTTGAGTAGAGCCAGCATCTTGAACAGAGTTCACTGCAGATTCAGTCAAATTTCCTGCAGATGTAGTAGGCTGGCACTGACGAAAACCAGGAGGATAACCATGCTTCATGAAGCAAGTCTCGATAGTGTGGTTGGTGTGACCACAATGGGTACACAGGAGGTTACCACGACCACCAGAGGAATGTCCACGGCCACGGCCAGAGTTGGTAGAAGGACGAGAAGATGTCGTAGAGAAGTGATTCACAAATGACTGGGACTCAATTGATGAAGCAGAGGTTGAATGAAGGTTGAATTGTCGTTCTTGCTGGAGAACCAGATTGAACGCATTGTCAAGGGTTGGTAGCGGAGACATCAGCATGATCTGCGAGCGAACGTGAGAGTATTGATCTCCAAGACCTTTCAAGAACTTGATCACTTTATCTTGTTCTTTGAATTTGCGTAGATCTGAAGCAGCACCACCTGAGCAAGGTATAGCACAAGTGCAATCACGAATTGGGCAGAAATTCTCGATTTCTTCCCAAAGCGTTATCAATTTTGTGAAGAACGGAGAAATGTCTAGTGTTCCTTGTTGAAGACAAGCAACTTCTTCTTGAATATCAACAATTCGAAAGATGTCTCCCTGAGAGAACCGATTTTCCAAACTTTTCCATACCAGAGAAGCGCGATCATACCAGAGAAGGGATTTTGCAATTTCTTCAGAAATGGAGCGTTGAAGCCATGAAAGGACGAGATTGTTGCATCGAAGCCAAGGATCATACAAAATATCAGAGATAGGCGGAGGAGAAAGGCTACCATCCACGAATTTGATTTTGTTCTTGGAGATAAGGGCAACTTTCATCGATCTAGACCAGATCTGGTAGTTCTTGTTATCAAGAACAGGTTGAACAAGAACGAGGGAAGGATTCTCGTTAGGATGCATGTAGTAGGGATTAGAAGGATTAATAGCAAAATCTGAGTAAGGGAGCGCCATAGCCAGGGTGAGGCAGCAAAGGAGAAAGAAGGCGCGAAGTCGCGAAGACGAAGAAGAAGGCGCAAAGAAGGAGAAAAGAAAGAGGCGCAGAAAAGAAATTTAAACTGATACCATGTTGATTTTGGAATGAAAGAAATTATTGCATTCTATTTCTCATAGCAAATGTACAGAGGTAGAGCCTATTATATAGCTTAGTAACAAAACACAACTTACTAACAAACTATAAAAGGCTAAACTAATTTTGTTACTTCTACTCTAAGGATAATTATAATTAGTTATTTACATCATGTAATATCTGTTCTTCCTAGTTTCTCGACTGTTTCCGGTGAAATGATAATACACTTCTATATGCTTTGTCCTCTCGTAAAAAATGGATTGGAGGAGAGGTGGAAAGCTAATTGATTATCGCAAACGAATTCCATTTGGCCAGCTTCACAAAAATATAATTATTGTAGTAAATGTTTCATCCAAACATGCTCACATGTAGCATGAGCCATAGCTCGGTACTTGGATTTTGTACTTGATCGGGAAACAATACTATGCTTTTTTATCTTCCATGAAACCAATTTTCCACTAAAAAAAGGCAATAATCATGAATAGACGCCTATCACTCACATCTCTTGTCCAATTAGCATCTGAATACCTAACAATATCAGCGTGGCATCTATTAGTGAAAAAAAATCCTTTTCTAGGCGCTCTTTTGATGTACTTAAGAATCTGAACAACTGCATTCCAACGATTGTCACAAAGTGAGTTAAAAAACTTATTTACAATGCTCACATGAAAAGATATATATGGTCTGGTTAGAATGAGATAAATCAAATTCTCTAGTAGTCTTCAGTATCCACCTGGATTAGAATAGGTCTCCTCTTGATAAAAAGGTGACTTACATTAGGATCCATATGAGTGTTGACTTGTTTACAATCTATAATACATGTCTCTTCCAAAATGTCAAGAGCATATTTTCTTTGAGAGATAACAGTACTTGACTTTGATTGAACCACATCAATCCCAATAGATTAACGTAGAGGAACCAAATCCTTGGTTTGAAAATTTTAAAATAGTTGTTCTTTTAATACTTTTATACCTTCATAATCATCACCTATAATCACAATGTTATCAATATAAATTAAAAGATATATACTTATTTGATGATGAGCATTTAAGAAAGATAAAATGATCTGATATACAACGGGTCATTCCAAACTATTGTAAAATTTAGCTGAATTTATCAGACCATGTCTGCGGTGATTGTTTTAGGCCATATAAAAAGTTTTACAATATGCATACCAAATTACACCCTTTGAGAAACAAACCCATGATATTTTTTTCATATAAATCTCTTTTTCCAACTCGTCATGCAAGAAAGCAATCTTGATATCCAACAAAAATAATGGCCAACCTTTCATGGGTGCCATGGCTACAAAGAGAAAAATATATTAGGTGAGAATATAGAATATCCAACTGTCTAGAAGAGGGGTGAATAAACATCAAAATTAAAATCCTAGTTAAAAATACTTTGAAAAAACCTATTATGAAAAATAAAATAATTTATATGGGGGAAGTAAATTTTTGTTTATAAAATAGATTATTTTTATAGACTTAAATAATTCACAAAACGACTTAAATAATTCACAAAACAAGACCGAATCAAAGAATTAACCAAAATATAAAAATCAATGCAATGTATTGAATGTATAATTGGTCTTATTTTTGTAAACTCACCTTTCACATGGAAAGAAGTCAGTCTTAGTCTAGAGATGATATTACATATGTGTGGATGTAAGTGTTTGTACTTTTCAAACGACGACTATATAGATGCTTGTGAGTTGAAAAAATTGGGATTGCTTGCTTGGTGCAACCAACTCAACCATGAACATACATATATAATCAATAAGGATCATGCTTCTATGACTATTAGGTAGCTAGGTTACCCCATATTCAAATAAATTAAGATCGAAATGGCAGTGAAGAAAAATAATCATCCAATTATGATATTCTTCATTGTTACATGTTGGTGTCTAAATCTCATGATGGGTGGAATGGCAGAGATTAGTAACGATAGTATTGTAGTGGAAGTTGGAGCAGTACTTGATATTAGCAACGGAACAGTTGGGAGGATAGGATTGAGCTGCATCAACATGGCCCTATCAGATTTCTATTTATCTCATTCTCACTACAAAACTAGAATCCAAATCACCGTCAGGGATTCTCATAGAGACGTCGTCAATGCAGCTGCACATGGTAATTAATTACTAATTGCACCTCTTCATTCTTCGTCTCTATATTTATGTGTGAATATTATTTGCCATCTGCTCTTTCACAACTTAGTTTACCCCTTTTTTAACCCATAATTTAACTTTGCGCTTCTTGGTAAGTAGCGTTGGAGGCTCTTGGAAGGTTATCTTGGTTGTGGAGAGATATCCTTGCATAAAGGTATGGTGCATCGGTGGTTAATTATTATCTGAGGGGTAAAGAAAGGTTCTTAAGAGGGTTTCTCATTGGTAAAGGGATGTGTCTCATCTTGGTTATAAACTTGTTAAGTTGTTTGATTGGTTTATTTCCTTCATTCGTAACTTGTTGGTAATAGGAAGAATATTCAGTTATGGTATGATGAGTGAGTTTTGGTTGCTCCTTTGTGTGCGGCTTTTGAAATGGATTTGATATTTCAGTTGGAGGCGCATATTATTGGTTTGGGAGAAATAATTGTAGGGTATTTTCTTATTTCTGTTAACGTGTTGCTTACATGTGATTAAGAGAATGCTTGAATTTGGTTTTCTGATACTATTGGTGTGGTTTCTCGATTAGGTTAGACTATGATCGACTCTCCACCCTCTCTACGGGGGACGGTAGGTCATATTGTGTGATTCAGGAGTTGGATAGTTATCAGAAGTCTTGTAGTTTTCTTCTAGCTATTGTTGTAGGGTACTTTAGTGACTAGAAAAAAATCTTAGTAAGCGTAGTATCCTTCAGAGTGTAGTGGGGTGGGATGTGTTTAGTGTCCGAGTCAAGTTAAGTCGGTAGACCATTTGTTTGTTCTTTGTGGGTGTGTTACCTCTTACATATTCCCTAGTCAACTCTAGAGGCGTTTGAGGATTTTCATGGCTAAGAAAGAGAGGAGATGGAGATTCTAAACTTAACTATGCAATGATATGAACTATATAGAACATGTGTAATAATGTCATTTTTATCAGAAAAGTTTATATGTTAATAATTTGGTTATTATGATTATTGGGTCTTTTTGGAAGTGTGTTCACTTTCACTCTCTGAGATTCGACCTCTCTCTTTTGGAATAAGAACAGAACCCGCTTATATGCTTAAGATTCGAAAAGATGTTGGGTGGTCAGCTGTCCATGCTTCTGTTGATACTTTCTTTTTCTTTCACCTATTTTATAACTTTGAAAGAATTTCTTGTCTTTTTCTCCCTTTATGATTTTCGTTTTTGTTTGTCTTGTCTTTGTGATTGTTGACTTTTTTGTAATGTTTAGGTGCATTATTTATTTATTTTATATTTTAATTTTTTCTTTTTAATTTCTCTTATTTTAATTAAATTTTTCTTTTATTTTATTAATTAAAAAATGAGATTAAAATCGAGATAAAAAATTATTATAGAAAAGAAATAAAGGAAATAAATGAGGTGGTCCATGTATGTGCAAAAGGAGTAGCTGTTCTTTGCATTAATGCAATGTAGTCATGCATAATAAATCACAATCAATTCCTCCCTCTCCACAAGTAATTAATAACCTTTAGTGCAGAGACGTGAGTGAGTGACCACTCCAAAACATTTTTCTAATTATCTTACGGCACTTGTTTTCTTTCATATTATATAGGGATGTTCAAATCCAAAGTAATCTAAATCCAAATAATAATGGTAAACAATTTTAAAAAATTGAAAATTGTAAAAATAAATTATATTTTAAATAAATTAAATAGTTATGCTGTGAGAAATTCCATTCTACCACGTTGATATGAACTGAAAATATAATATCGATTCTAAATCGTAAGTGTATTTCTGATTTGTATTTTGACATATACTCGCACATGCGGACGAAACTTCTAGAGAAGGAGTAGATTAGGGCCGATCATGTTTATAGGATGTATTGCCTAAGTATTATCGTATCATGGAGATTGCACGGGTTGGTATTGATGGAGGTATGTTTCCTGATGACTCTGATATTAGAGGTGTTCTAGATGTCATCATAGCGAATTTTTAAAAAAATATAAAAAAATATTTGAAATTTTTTGAAAAAATAATTTTGTATAAAATGATAAAAGAGTGTTTATCATTAATATATTTTTAATTTTCAGAATATTATAACAATATAAAAGATATTTAAAAAATTTATATAAACCTTCTAAAACTCTTGGTCGATACAAATTTCGAGTTTTTCCAAATTGAAAATTTTCTCTTTCTTTTCCTCCAAACTCCCGAACCCACATTAAAGATTACTCATTTCAGACCATTAAATGTAAGAGATTTTATTAGCTCCCTTAGCCATTTCCCAAAGAAACTCTAAGGATTACTCACCTGGGACCATTGATCGGAAGAGATTTTATTAGTTACCTTAGCCATTCCCCAAAAAAACTGGCTCCGTAAATAGACAATATGGTTTCTACACCTTCTCGAATATCTTCATGAGGGAGAGATAGAAAATAAGGATAGAACTAGAGACACTATTTATAAGCGCCACCCTCTCCCAAGACAAACAAATCTAAGTTGATTGAAGTTCTTAAAGAGAATGGATCCAATTTTGAAATTCAAGAAATGATATCTATTTAGGAAAGATGTTGGGACATTTAGCCCAATCCTTTCCCAAACATTAATCCTTAAATTGTACACTTTTACACTAACCATGTATGTTTCCCTTTCTTACTTATAATTGTTGAATTTGTGCTAAACAGCTTTGGATCTTATAAAAAATGTGAAAGTACAAGCAATCATGGGACCAACAACAACAATGGAAGCAAATTTTGTGATTCAACTAGGAGACAAAGCTCACGTGCCCATTGTTACATTTTCTGCAACAAGCCCTTCACTTGCATCACTTCAAAGTCCATATTTTTTCCAAATATCACAAACTGATTCAGCTCAACTAAAAGCCATCACCACAATCATTCAAGCTTTTGGTTGGAAACAAGTGGTCCCTATTTATGTTGACAATAGTTTTGGTGAAGGACTCATTCCTTATCTAACCAATGTTCTTCAACAAGAGAATATTCAAGTTCCTTATCTTAGTGCAATTTCTCTTTCAGCCACAGATGATGCCATTACTCAAGAGCTTTACAAAATCATTACTACTATTCCAACTAGAGTGTTTGTTGTGCACATGTCAACAACTATTGGATCTAAACTTTTTACCATAGCAAAAAAAATTGGGATAATGAGTCAAGGCTATGTTTGGATAGTAACTGATAGTATGGCTAATCTATTCAATTCATTGAGTTTAGATGTCTGGGAATCAATGGAAGGAGTAATTGGTGTTAGGACTTATATTCCAAGAACAAAAAAGCTAGATGATTTTAGAGTTAGATGGAAAAGAAAATTCATGAGTGATAATCCAACTCTTGTTGACACATATTTGAATATTTTTGGAATATGGGCTTATGATGCAACAATTGCATTAGCAATGGCTATTGAGAAAGCTGGAACTGGAATCACAAAATTTGGTTACAATGAGAGCAACACATCAAGCAATTATTACATATCTGAAATTGAAAGGTTTGGTATTGCACAAAATGGTGTGAAATTGAGTGAAGCTTTGTTAAACACTAGATTTAGTGGTCTTAGTGGTGATTTTAATGTTTCCGATGGGAAGTTACAAGCTTCGACGTATGAGATAATTAATGTGATTGGTAATGGTGAAAAGAGGGTTGGATTTTGGACACCATATAAGGGTTTGGCTAGAAATTTGGATACAAAAGACAGAAACAATGGTACATATTCTAGTTCTAAAAATGATCTTGCAACTATCATATGGCCAGGGGATATGTACTCTATTCCAAAGGGATGGGAAGTTCCAACTATTATTGGGAAGAAATTGAGGATAGGAGTTCCTGTAAAAAATGGAAATAACTACACTGAATTTTTGAAAGTAACACATGATTATGACACTAATTCAACACAAGCCACTGGCTTCTGCATTGCCGTCTTCAAAGCTGCGGTGGAAGCGTTGTCTTATCCTTTACCACAATATGAATTTGTTGCATTTGCAAAGCCTGATGGGGAGATGGCAGGAACATACGACGAGTTGATCAGTGAACTTTATTACGGGGTACTCTCTTTTTCTAACACTTTTTTTTTTATCATGAGCATCTGACAACATGCATTTCTTACTTTCTTGAACGAAATAAATAAAAAAGTAACTTTGGATTTGACAGAAGTATGATGCGGTGGTGGGGGATATAACGATCATTTCAAACAGATCCAACTATGTTGATTTCACCATGCCGTACACAGAATCTGGAGTGACAATGATTGTTTCAATGAAAGACAGCAGGAAGAAAAATGCATGGGCCTTTTTGAAGCCATTGACATGGCAACTTTGGGTAACAACAACTTGTTCATTTGTATTCATTGGATTCGTTGTTTGGGTTCTTGAACATAGAATCAACAACGATTTCAGAGGACCACCCTCCCATCAAATTGGCACAAGCCTATGGTTTTCCTTCTCAACTATGGTTTATGCTCATAGTAAGTCTCATCCACTCATCACACACACACGCGCACGCATACACACACTAAAACTACAATTCATTATGACCCTTATTGCTAACTATCTCATTTTGATGACAGGAGAGAAAGTGGTGAGCAACTTGGCTAGATTTGTGGTGGTCGTATGGGTTTTTGTGGTTCTAATTCTGGTTCAAAGTTACACTGCAAGTTTGACTTCACTCTTAACTGTTGAACAACTAAGCCCAACTATTACAGATGTTAACCAACTTCTAAAGAATAAGATGAATGTTGGCTATCTCAAAGGCTCTTTTGTTTACGGAATCTTGAAAGGCTTACAATTTCAAGATTCTCAGCTCATTCCTTATCAGTCAGCTGAAGAATGTAATGAGCTTTTCATGAAAGGAAGTGTAAATGGTGGCATTGATGCTGCTTTTGATGAAGTTCCCTATGTTAAGCACTTTCTTGGAATTTATAGTTGTTCAAAATATGTCATGGTTGAACCAAGATTTAAAACTGGCGGTTTCGGCTATGTAAGTTGTTTTAAATCTCTCTTTCTCTTGTATATCTCTTCACTCCTCCTAATGATCTTATATATTTAACCAGTACAATTGAAGTTTGTTCAAATGCGATTTATTCATAAATGAGAGGTCTCATTGGTTCGATCACTTGTCTGATTTTGTAGGCGTTCCCAAAAGGTTCACCTCTTGTACCAGACATTTCAAGGGCAATCCTAAATGTGACACAAGGAGAGAAAATGAAAACAATTGAGAATGCATGGTTCAAAGAGCGTAGTTGTCAAGATTCTAATACAGAAATCTCCACTAATAACAGTCTTGGACTTGAAAGCTTTTGGGGCCTATTTCTCATTGCAGGGATTGCTTCCCTATTAGCACTCCTAATATTTTTTGTCACATTTCTATATCAGCACAAACATATTTGGTTAAACAATGATCCAAATGCTTCAATATGGCAACGAATTCGAGTCTTGGTAAAGATATTTGATCAAAGAGACTTGAACTGTCACAACACATTCAAGAAAAGTGAAAGGATTGTTAGTCCTCCTCATGATGATTTAAGTTCAGTGGAGGCTTCTCCAGGTACACATTGTCCACCTAGTCCATCTAGTCAAACTGAGTCAGTTGTTTCGGTTTACTGCGATTTTAGTGCCGACCAAGGTCAAAACACATAAATGGATGTTGTACAGAATACTAATCCAGAAGTTGAACCTGTGAACAACATGACAACATCTATAATTGTAACATCAAGCTCTTAATAATTGTATGGATGTTTGTTTGACAAAATTACTTTTATGTGTCCCAAGAATTTACTGTATTATAAATTATGCTCACTACGTCAAAAAGTATTTATAACAGCGCATATTAGACAACACTTATGTTTCATCATGGACTGCATAATTATAATGTTAATCTTAGTTAGAATAGCATCAGGTATAAACATGTTCAAATCCATATTAAGGGGTTATCAGAATTATCTAATTCATATTTAAATTTACTTATTAAAAATCGCTTCATTTCCATATTTTGGTTATTTTTTAAATATGATTTTAACCAAATCTTTTTCTTTTGGATATACATGTCTAAAATAAAAACTAAGTTAATCTATTTTTTTAAAAACAATATTATAAAATAATTATTTTTATAAAAATAAATTTTTGCAAAACTTTATTTTTTGAGAATTTTTTTTTTAATTTTTGAAAAATAAAAATTAAAAAAAAATTATGATTATTTATTGAAATTTTTTTCCAAAATATTAAAAAAGAAACATTTTTTTTTTCAAAAAAAATTATTATTCCACAAATAAAAAAACGAATTTTTTTCTAGAAATAAAAAAATGATTTTTTATTTATTTTTGAAAATATATTTTTTTATTTTATTTAAAATATTTTTCTTTTCCAAAATCAGATTTTTATATTAAAAATCGGTTCTAAATTGAAAGTTAAATATAACTTTCAAAACCGGTTAAAAAGTCCATAACCAATTATAAAAAGCGGTTATGGACATAACCATTTCTTAGAAACAAAATCATTTATATAGATTGATTATAATATCTGATTATGATAAATTGTTATAATTGATTATGTAAAATAATCCAACTATGAGCATCCTTAGGTATAGAAGATTAAAGATAAACGAAAGTAAAAGATAACGATAGATGAATCTTTATTAACAGTTCGGCCAATGGTACATACTGCGACTATAAAGCAATTACAATTCATTTATTTTTGTCATATGAATTAGTTAAGATTCCAGAGTTACAAGGCATATATAATATTAAAGTACAATTTATCTCTACCCATAATTAGGGGTCTTGTTAATTTAAAATATCTAAATTTAGAAAAAAAATACAATTTTAATAATTAAAAAATATTTACAAAAAATAGAATTATATATTAATCAAATAAAGTATTTAAAAACTCAAAATATTGCTATTCCTTTGCGTTCTTTATCTCCAAAGCTTTCACGCACGAACGATCAATTGTATCTATTGTAACACAAGACTTCAATTATGATTTGGCTTTCTCTCGCTACTTCATTTGCGTTCTTTATCTTCAAAGGGTTTCAATTGGCCGCAATTCACTTTTGAATGTCTTGCACGAAAACCCCCAAATCTATCAATAATCTTGGAGGACAAATCCGCGATTTTTCCTGATGAAGACCTCTACAAATTTCAACCAAATATTCTCGGCTACACAAGAACCTAATTGGACGTTATCAAATCTCACTTAAATGGCACCCCAATAAATAATCATTACAATGGTTTATTAGTGTTGTAATAACCGCCTGAAAATTATTATAGAGTCGCCACCATTAATTTTTATCCTAAGGAAGGGAATATAACGGATAACCCTAATTTGGATCAGATATTCTAAGTTGTTGACTCGATTTAGACGAAGGGAAGGTGTTAGGCACCCTTCATCTATCTTGTTCACAAGGATACTAGGGTTTAGGTTAAAGGTTAGGAATAGTTTTAATTTTTAGTTAGAGGAATTCGTCGCGATTTTAAGTCGTATGCCTACGTATCCTCTTATGAGGAATCATAATCCCAATTCGTAGTTCGCAGTTGTTTGGTTAGTTTTATTTATGGATTATGGAAATATCTCGAATTCTCTTTAAACCAAGTTTGGGTGTGTGAATAGTGAATTTGTAGACGTAATTCGTAGTCGATAAAAGAAATCTCCATAATTCTTTTTTGAAAATAAAATTATATATATATATATATATATATATATATATATATATATATATATATATATATATATATATATATATATATATATATATATATATATATATATATATATATATATATATATATATTTGAATTATGTTAGTAGAAAATTTCAGTATTTGGTTGGTTAAATATTTTTGAATAAATGATGCAATTTTGAATAAAAAACATTTAATGCAAATATATAAAAAGAGTTAGTATTTTAAAAAGATTTTAAATTAATAAATAACAATTTTATAATTTATTAAAAGAAAATATGTCAAATATTTTTAAGATAAATATTACACTTATTTACCAAAGATGCAAAATTATAGGTTAATAAAATGATAAATAAATAAATAAATAAAAATTAATTTTATTTTATTAAAAAATGCAGGGAGTGTAAATTTAGCTTGAGTAGCAAAACCTGAGAGTGTGAATAACAGGGCCCAAATCCAGATATTGGATTTTGCTCAACACGTAGGGGGGTACGACTGTGAGCTGAGGAAGTAATATTGGGGGTGCATATAGCATGGGCCCAAGTTCAGAAATTGAACTTGGCCCAAAGCCTAAAAGGGGGGGGGGGGGTCTGTTTGGCCTTCATGTGGTGAGGCGCATGGGGTTTATTATGGTCTCGCGGCTTTGGGGCGTTCGATCAAGATCAGAAGGTGTGAAACGAGGGTGTACACTAAGAGTTTTCGCATGGGATCGCGAGGGAGTATATCTTTTCATTTCTCACATTTCTTTTTTCATTTCCTCGTTCATCTCTCTCTCTCTCTCTCTCTCTCTCTCTCTCTCTCTCTCTCTCTCTCTCTTTCTCTTATTCTCTCTCTCGTCTCTCTTTCTGTTCTTCTCTCCTCTCACAGAACAAACACCTCCGAAAACCCTAGATCAGCGACCATCTTTCCAAACCCTTATTTCATCAAACGCGCAAACAAAACAATGATTCCCAAAACACAGAAGAAAGTTAAGTGTTGATATGATTACCTCAAAGCCTTGAGTCTTTGTGTTTTTTATCGATCTTCCTCTGATTCTCAACCTCTTTGTCTGTTTTTTGCAGGTACTTGGAGGATGATGGTGGAAGCGGCGACAATTTTGAAGAGCTCGAAGGCGACGACACCACAACGGAGATCTTAGGGTTTCTATTCAGAAACCCTAGATCGGTCAGAAGAGGGGAAAACTTTGGGGACTTGCTTCTTCATATCTTCTTCTCGTTCTTTCTCTTCTCCAAATCTCCTTAGTCTCTTCACCATTTTTTCTCCTTTTTATGTTCTTAGTTCTTAGGGTTTATATAGGCTTAGTTTAGAGATAGATTAGGAATTTTTTGTTGATTTGGCGTTATAAATAGATGATTAGAGATTTCTTTATAAATTAGGGTTAGGAGCAGATTGTACAAACTAGTGATTTAGATTGGATTTGATTTTGTAAATTAGGGCTTGAGGGATTGTAATTGATTCTGTATTTATGATTTCTGAGATTTGATGTGTTATAATTTAGGATTTGATTGTATTTCGGACGATTGATTTGTTTTGATTTCTACAGTATCCATTTTTTTGGTTTTTGGTTGGCTTAGTGAAGAGGATGAACAGGGCGCTGCTGGGTTGGGAAATTAGGTTTTCATCTCTATTTGGTTTACTCGGTCAACAATAATAATCAAAATAATAAATAAATAATATTAATAGTAATACCATTAATAATAATAATAAATATTTATTAATAATAAAAATATAATAATATTTGTAACAATAATATTTTAATAAAAATAATATTAGGAAGAGCCGGTTGACTCGGTCAACCTTGGCAAAACCAGTGGGCTTTCAAACCTCTTAATGGGCTAGAAAATCTCCAAAAAAAACGCACAAAAAGCAAATGGGCCTCTAGAAACAAAGTGATATGGGCCTGCTGAATTCTTCTAAACATACCTCCCTCTTATCATTATTTGCAAACAAGTCAAAAACCTTATTGGGCCATCCAATTCAATAAGGACACCCCCTTTTGTACTTATACGAAAATGAAACTTAAAATGGGCTTAGTTGTGAGGCAAACTGAGCCCAATACACCCCTCTCTTTAATAAAAAAACAAAGCAATTTTAATGGACCGGTCTCTCTCTCTCTCTCTCTCTCTCTCTCTCTCTCTCTCTCTATATATATATATATATATATATATATATATATATATATATATATATATATATATATATATATATATATATATATATATATATATATATATATATATATATATATATATATATATATATATATATATATATATATATATATATATATATATATATATATATATATATATATATATATATATATATATATATATAAACTGAAATGGGCCAGCCTAAAAATGAAACAAATATACACCCTCTACTATAGACAAGTGTGATACGGTTGAGTTTTGCGTTTGTTTTCGCAAATGTTTCGGTTGAGCAAGAGTCGCCACCGACTTTTTATTTTATCCTAAGGAAAGGTTAAAAAGCACAGGAAAAACCTTTGAGATGTTTTCTTGGGTTCGGGGAGTAGATTATAGAAAGGGAAGGTATTATCACCCTTTCTATCCATGGTTATCCATGGACTCTTAGTTACTTGCTTAGATCACTTGCTTTGCATTTTCAATTGTTTGAAATGGTGTTTTGTGTGTGGTTTTGAAAAAGATGCCTTGTCTAGGCAACCTTTGTAACAATTCGTATTTGAATGTTTTACAAAGGTGTTTGTCTTTTTGAAAAGATGTTTCAATGTTTTTGAAAGTTGTTTTGAAAGTTGTGTTGTGGAGTGTGTTTTGAAAAATGGCAAGGATGTTTTGCAAGTTTGATCAAGTAACTAAGAGCTATCTACCCTATTTTACTCAAAGATCTTTCTCATGTTTTTTAACCCTTTTAACAGTATTGTTTTCACCATTGTATTTGGTGAACAACCTTGCGTTAGGATGTTAACGGGACGGGCGCGGGT